TGGCGGTGGCCGGCATCTGAGCGCCTCCCTGGGGTCCAGGCTCCCTCCGCTTAAGGCCCTGAGACTCCAGCAGGACTGGGAAGGGCTGCAGGGAGCCCCATTGTTCTGTTATCGCCCTGGTGCAAAATAGCTGGAAATGGGGTTCGAGACTGGGCAGCGCCAGGAGGGGGCAGTGGGCACTGGAGCCTCAGGCCCGTGGCCAGGGAAGAGCTCCGCCCTGTGGCTCCCGGCGGCAGCCACGGAGAGGCCCTGAAGGAACAAGCAAAGGCCCTCTCCCCAAGCTGAACAAGGCCAGGAAGAGAGCCCGCATCATCCTCCCCACGTGTGGTCCCCTCCAGGGCCACCCATCAGCCCCCGGGCAGGATGGACCATGGTAGCCCTGAGATGGGAGCGGTGAATCCCACTTCTCAAGGGTTGCGAACAAAGGGACCTGTGTTCGAATCTTCCTTCTGGGCTTCCAGCCCGTGCCCTCGGGCAGATGAACCTCTCCGTGGAGGAGCCCCAGGCCTTCCACCATCAAATGGGGCGCTGGTGCCTGACCCACAGGCTATCGGCAGGGTGACAGCTAATCTCCGAGTCCCAGGATACAAAGGAGGTTCTTCAACACCCCTGCGCTACTGACGCCATCGCAGCAGCCTCGGGGGTGCAGGTTCGGTGGGGGGGCTCTCGGGGCGCCCCGCGAAGGCAGGCGAGGCTGCGTGCATGCGGCGGGGCCTCCGCCGCTCCAGCTGGCTTGCTGACAGCCTGTCCCTCGAGAGCGAGCGAGTGCGCGATTATTCAGAAGGCCCGGCCTGCCTTAGTCAGACTGTCTCTCAAGTCTGAGCCAGGGGAGGGCAGGGCGGCATCATCCATCTCCCTGGCCACTCAGCATCGCCACCACGGCTGCTGCACAGAGTGGGGATGACAAACAGTGGGACTGGCAGGGAGGGGGGAGCATGGCGTGAATCCTGCAGGCCGGCAAACCCGTCCCCAGGAAAAGGAAGCCACACCCTGCTTCCAAGAACCTCTAGGAACAGGAACCCCGGGAGCTGGGAGCTGGGAGCTGAGGGTTTACCCTGGAGTTAGAAGGCTGGCAGGTGTGTCCTGAGTCACTGGGCTCAGAGACAGGACAGCTGAGGTCACGGCAGATTCTGCCATCCCTGGTAAGCCAGAGTCGCCCTTTGGGACTCAGTTCCCTTAGCTAAAACAATGGGAGGGTGGCCTCCAGGGCCCCCGCCGGCCCTGCATCTCAGCCACACTCCGGCTACAGCTACGCGCTGGGCCCCAGCTCAGGCTGCCGCCCCCAAGCTCCGCCCGCGCCCGCGCCTGGGCCAACACAGATTCCTTCCATCTTCCTACTCTTGCTTTTGAAGGTTGCCCAGTTGCCAGAAAGGCAGAGGAAAGCCCAAACTTTCACCACAAACATCTCCAAAGCTCCAGAGACAAAAATAAACACTCCCTGCTGTGCTGGAGAGTGCAGGGCTGAGCAGGCCACAAGGAGGGGACATCCCCGGGGGAGTGCCCGGCACTGGGAGGGCTATCGGTCACCACTCAGAGGTCACTGGGAGGGCTCTTCCTGTGCTGACAGTCACTCACAAAGGGCAGAGCACGTGGAGGACTCCTGACCTTTCCACCCAGAGTGGGCCAGCCTCCCCCTAGGTGCAGTGACCGTGTCAGGGCCCTCAAGGGCAGCCAGTGCCGTCACTGGGACAGCCTGGCTTCCTGACCCCATGGGCCAGGGCTCTGGTGAGAATGCAGCAGGCACACCCCCACCCCCTCCCTCCCCTCCCCCTGTGGCTGCTCAGGACCTTGGAGGGAGAGGGGGGTGGAAGAGGAAAGGGGGGCGGATTTCCTTGAAGGGATGCTCCACTATTGTGAGCCAACTTTTTCAGAAGCAGTTGGTGATCTGTCTTCCTCCAGGTAAGTTGAGGGAGGCAGGTGGAAGGGTCCTGGTATTTTACCCAGGCAGGAACGGGCCACAGCCACAGTTCGTAATTATTGTCTCCCCGAACATCTGGGGCTCTGGCTTAGTGGTTAAAGGACCTATGCTTCATCCTGGCTCTTCCACTTACAAGCTGCATGGCCTTGGGTGGTGCCTTCACCTCTCTGGGCCTCAGTTTCCTCATTTGTGAAATGGGCATAATAATGATACCAACCCCTCACCTATGAGAAGATGCACAAAAAAACCCCCACCTAGAACAGTATCTGTTTTGTAGTTAATATTCAGTAATCATGCTGCTATTATATTTAGACTAGGAGACTCAACTCTTTTGCCTCAGTTTCCCCCTTGACTAAGCCAGTTTCAGAACAGGTCCCCTTCCAGGGATTATGTGCCGACACAGAGTGTGGTGTTTAGAAGGCAGGTGGCCATAGGAAGGAAGTGGGATGAGAGAGTCAAGGGTCACATTGAGTCTGGAGGAAGATGCTGCCCTGTTTGCGCTGACAACAGCTGCAACAGCAGGGAGAACCCGGCAAGGTGCTGCAAAAGGTCTCCAGGCATTAGGAGCCCCAAGGGGCACTGAGCCCAGGTGGCTCTCCTCTGTGTCCCCAGCCCTGGGCCAGGCCAGCCCTGGGAGGGCCCAGCCAGTGTTGCTGAATAAGCAGTTGAGACGCAGGGTGCACGAGAGGTATGTGGGCCAGGAATCAGAACATCAGGCACTCTGCCCTACAGCTGCCAGTCCTGGTCTGTGCATCCGGAGACAGCGTCTCTGAGCCTCACTTCCCTCATCTGTGAAATGAGGGGGCTTCATTCCTTCTCAGCCAGCCTAGCTGCCTATCTCTCCCCCCACCCCACTCCACTCCAGCTGTGTCCAGGCTCTTTGCTTGCCATGGCTATCTGCATGGCTCACTCCCTCACAGCTTTAGCTCAAAAGTCACCTCCTCCAGGAGGCCTCCCTGACTACCCAATTTAAAATGGCAACCCCGCTCCCCAACCTCAACACCCCCACACGTGACTCCCCGCCTCCCCCCGCAGCACGCTGTATCACTGGCTTATTTGTTTTATTGGCTATTTGCCTCCCCCGTCTTTAAGTGTGAGTGCCATCAGGGCGAGCATCTTTGTTTTTGTCCTATGCCTGAATATGTGCCCGGCACTCTGTCCAATGAATCAGTGTTGGTGTAGCGTTCACAAACACTGCGTGCAATACGTAAGAGTCAAGAAAAGCCCGAGACTGCGTGAGTTTGGGGCGCTACTGTTAATGCCACACCCCGGGAGGGGCAGGCCCTTTCTCCAGCAGTGGGGCTATCCTAAGGACTTGGAGGGGCTGAGTACGGGCTGGAGAAGCCGCAGGGGCCCTGGGGACAGGGCTCAGCAGAGGACAGGTCAGAGCTGTGGAACCAGCAGGTGGTGAGAGCTGGGCAGGGGTGAAGGGGCCTTGGCCTCAGCCTGCGCGTCAGATTTGGAAGTGGAGGACAGCATGTGGCGGAAGAGAAGCCAAGGCAGCTGCCTCCCAGGATGTCGGGGCCAGAGAGGACCTCAAGAACAAGACGACCCATCTTACAGATGGGACAACAGAGGCCTGGAGAATACCCAGTCTCATTTCCTAACATGCCAATAAGAAAAAATATTTCCTTTCTTTCTTGAGGTCTGGGGCTGAGGCTAAGGGATAGACAGTGCCCCCTCCTGGTTCTGCGACAAAACGCCCCCGTGTCCCTGGGATCTGTAGGCTACAGGTCGTGGCCCCCTCTCCACAGGCCGCTGGGAGGGGAGGTCCCAGGGGCCGCCCAGGTGAGGTGGCAGCGCGGGGCTTCTCCCCGCAGGCCACCCCACTAAGAAGTTTGTCTGAAAGAAACCAGGCAGGAAGTGCGGGGCAGTGGGGTGCTGAGGCGGGGACTTGGCTACCTGCGCGGCGCCTCGGCGGGGCCTGGGGGTTCCCGGTCTCCGCCCCGCTCCTGCCCCAGCTTCCCTCGCTCGCCGAGAAACCCGCTCCCCTTTGTGCTGCAGGAGATGGCGGGAACCTGTGCCGGGTGGGGGCGAGGGAGCCGGCGCGGGGACCCAAGGTAGCCCGGGTGGGCGCGGCGGTCCCGGCCCTTCCTCTACGGACCCCCGGGGTAGGTGCGAGCGCGGTGCCCACGGCGGGGGCCCGGCCACTCGGCGGCCGGCCAGCGCACTGCCCCCTTCCCGCAGACCGCACGACTTCGGGAGAGTGGGGGGCGTCTCTCGCCACCTGTGCTTCCCCGGCCCACCCCGCTACCGGGGCTTGGGCGCGGCCTCGCCCGGTTTCCGCCTGCTCCCCCCGCCCCCCGGCCGGCTCGGGGCCCGGGGTGTCTCCCAGCCTTGCCCCAGCCCCTCCAAGCCGTGCTCGTCTCGCGGCTCCAGACACGCACCACTTTCGGAGGGCCGGGCCCGAGCGCGGAGGTCCCCAGGCGGAGCGCCGCCGGCCGCTCGGCGCCCCCGTCCTCCCGCCCGCCCCGCCCCCACGGCCCCGAACCAGAAGGTCGGGCCGGGCAGTGGGCGGCGGGAACTCCGCCACCACCTCCGTCCGCAGCCTGCGTAGGGGGAACTCGCAAGTTTGTGCCGCGCACTCCTCCGGCCGGGAACAATGGCGGGAGGGGGAGGGGAAGGAGAACCGAGAGCCGGGGACAGAGTCAGACCCCAGGGAGACGGAAACTGCTTTTCGCTGCTTCTCCCCTGCTCCGAAGCAGAGAGCGCGAGCCGGAGAGGCGGGGACCGAGGACGAGATAAAGGGTCCGGGAGAAAGGCGACGGCGGAGCGAGGAAGCTGGGGAGAGAGGGAAACCGAGTCAGAGGGAGAGGCAGCGAGGGGACCGTGCGAAGGGGAGAAACGGAAGGGGCTGCGGGACGGCGCCCGGGAGAGCCGGGGGAGGGACCCCTGGGGTCCCGGCCGAATCCGCAGGTGCCAGCCGTCCTGGGGCGCCCTGCTCGCGCGCTCGGGGTCCTCGCCGCCCCTGCGGTCCCGGCGCCCGCGGGGCCCGGCCGGTTGCGCTGCGCAGGCTGCGGCCGGCCGGCGGCGGGAGGGGAAAGTGCGAGGCGGGGAGGCGGCGGCGGGGAGCAGAACTTACGTGGCTAGCGCGGGCCCGGCGGACGCTCCGGCCTCGGCGCTCACATCGCGCCGCCCGCGCCGCGCAGGGCAGGGCAGGGCAGGGCAGGGCAGGGCCGGCTAGCTGGACTGCGCGCAGCGACCCGAGCGGCCGGGGCTCACCCGAGTCTAGCGGCCCCGCTGGTCCCTCCTCTCGGATCCGCGCGCGAGCCAATGGCGCGCCGTCCCCTCCCACGCGCCGGGCTGCCTCGCCCCCGAGGGTGGCCGCCGGGGCGGGCGGGATGGGGGTGGCGGGAGGCCGGGCTCCCCGGCTCCCTGGCGGAGGCTTTCCTGGAGGCCGCCTTCGGGGGGCGCGCTCACGCCCTGGGAGAAGGCGCCTGGGATTGGAACCAGGGCGCGGGGACACCCTGGCGTGGCCCGCGCCGCCCAGGAAGACTTTTTTGGCAAGTTCTGAAGCGGTGCCCCGTTTCTTGGGACTGTCCACACCCCTGTCGGTTGGCAAACCACAGTCTTAAATATCCTCGTGGGGTCTCCCGGAGCCTAGGCCAGTGTCTAAAATGGTAGGGACTGTCGTGGCTCTCAGTGATACCCAAGTGTGTAATGACACAGTCTCGACAATGGTTACCATTTGCTGAGCGCCCGCTTGGTGCTAAGTATTAACTCATTTGATTTTCACAACCCATGAGGTCGCCGTGATTAGTCCCATTTTACAGACGGTGGTCAGTAATGTTTGATTTCATTTAGCCTCAGGCTTCCAACGTGGAGCAGCAGCTTTGTGAGACTTGGCCAAATAACATGACCCTGCCAACATACTCCACCCTACAATGCAGCCTCGGCCATGCTGCTGTCAGTTGCACTGTCAGGGGACCAGAGTTTTTTCTGGAGCTCTAGGATGCTTGTGGGGGCCACAGTTGTCAGACCTTTTATCTCTACACATCCTATGGGGACGGAGGGTGAAGATGGGGTTTGGGGGATCTGGAGGTTGTTCAGTGGCCTGTCAGCCTAAAAGTACCAGGCTCCTATGAACATACGATTCTGGGCTCCTTCAAGCCCTTACGGTGGGGGATAATGTGCTCTCCCACCCCAAGTCTCAGCACCCTGCGATCTCCTTAGAGAATGTCTCAGTCTCTTCATCTGGTCTGATAGTCGCTGCTGGCTTGGCAGTGAGGTGGGGGGCCGAGGGGGGAGGAAGGCAAGGCCGATGACACGCTCTGTTTCACAAGGAAATAGGACAGAGAGGTGAGTGGCTGCCCCAGGCATCTAGCTAGGTGGGCTTTCTGACTCCAGGTCTGACTTCTTTCTGCACCAGTTCCTTAAGGGTTAAGCAGGCTCTGGAACCACTTTGTCTGGATTCAAATTGTGGCTCCGCCTTTTAGTGACTGTGTGGCCTTGGGCAAGTTAATCACTTATAGTGACAAAGGGCTGTCAAGATTTAGAGTTAATAGTGGCAGGCACCTCTGCACTTACTGAGCTCTGACAATGCCAGACTCCCACAGCCCTCCCCAGAGCTGGCCTGGCAGGAGAGCCTGTGCCCTTTGCAAGTAAGTAAACAGAACAGCACCCAGCTCATAGTGAGCCCTCCGTGGCTGGTAGCTGTCCTGATTACCAAGGTAACCAAACTCTGATCCCGCAGTGCCACCAACACTGTTTTCAAACACCTGATCAGTGAAAGCCAATAATGAATGAATGAATCAATCGATCAATCAAAGTAGGTGACTCTAGATCAGGATTGTGTTTAGGTGTGTTGAATGAAGCACAAACCCAAGAGCCACCTGACTTGGGGCTCTATAGTAGTCTCTGCAACAACTCAGACTCTCAGTTTTAAGAGCTGGGTCACGCCAGGCTGATGAATTCATTTGTCGCACCCTCTTCTACCTTTGCAGCATGCGGATCCCCAGGTCGCTGAAGGGAGGGCCCCAGCCTCGCTAGTGTACAGTGTCCTCCCTGGCTTGGAGATGCCTCCCACTGCTCCACTTGGTGTGACCCTAAAGACCTGAAGCAGGGTCCATCTGTGTGGGTGACACCAGAGAGCCAGACCTTACATCAGTAAGACGGCCTTCCTAAGATCGCTCCAAGATCTCCAAAATGGAAGAGGCTGCCTTAGGGGTAATGAGGGCCCTGTCACCAGCAGCATGCAAGCAGAAGCCAGGGGAGAGTTGATGAGGACACCAGAGGAGGGATTCACGCCTTAGGTGGTACTTGGTGTGGATAACCTTTGAGCTCTGGGTGTGTGGATTCTGCATTCTCTCCATTTCCCAAGCTTATCAGCAGACGCTGTGGAGGCTGGGAGCACTGGCTGGGCCGAGGTTGCCCCACATCCTTTGGGAAGGAGGTGATCCTGACTGGGCCCTTCCTGTGTGCCAGGCAAGGTGCTGATGCTGAGGGCCCGGGGGTGAACAGGACACTGTCCCTGTCCCTGGAGGGCTCATAGCCCCCGGGAGAGGGGTGCACCTACAGCAGCCAACAGCAGCAGCAGAAACAGCTCAGAGTAACAGGCAAAATGTTGCGGGGCCCTGAAGCCCTGAACCCATTGGAGGTTCCCATTCCCTTCCTTCTATATGCTTCTCCAAACAGATGTGTGCCCGGTTCAGAAACGCTCCTCGCACTGCCATTCTGCCCCTGCGTCTTTGAGCTACCTCGTCTTTACATTGGGCATAAAGAAACTCACCTTGCTGAGCTGTTGTGAAGATTAAAACGGACGTTCATAAAGTGCACCCCGATGCCCGGCACGAACAGGTGCGCGGCGCAGGTAACAATGCGGGCAGGACGAGAGGAGGCGGTTAGGACCCCGGCTCTGCTCCTAACCAGTTGCGTGACCCTCTGCTGCGCGTGAGAAATGGAGATATAAAAATACCTGCCTCTCAGAGCTCGTGAGAGTCAAGTGAGGCGATTTGATGAAAAAGGCTTGCAAACTGGAAATGCTGATTTCTATTATTATCATTATTCTCACCGTGGTGAAGTGTTCCTCTCAAGGCCCCAGGATGGTGGCAGGGGGGCAGAGCCGGAGACGCCAGGGGGGTGTCACTCCCTCCAGACTCCCACAGGAGCCCGAGAGCAGCTGGGGCTCCATCTGCCCCGGCCACCCTCGGCACTCGGGGCACACCTGTGCCCGGGTGTGAGTGTGTACAGTGCCTGTGTGTCTGTGTTTGTGCCCGTGCAGGTGGGCGTGTGAAGGCGGGCTGGGCACAGGGACGGCCAGTGTCTGGGGCCAGAAATCACTTGTGGATTGTGAATCCCTGGGGAAGAATGAGGAAGTAATTGGATTTCAAAGATGCTTGCAGCCAGATTCATGTTAACACCAGGCAGTGGAGGAGAAGGCTGGGGGAGTGGAGTTGGGCCTGGTCTTTGGGGCTAGGCCTGGGGATAGAGGTCTCAGCAATGACCCCCCCTCGCTGGGGATGGGGAGAGGTGTGTAGAAGAAGATCATATGGTCAGAGGCCTGTTGTGGCTGAGCCCAGGGATTTTATAGCCGACAGAACTGGGTTCAAATCCTGGTTATGGGACCACAGATCAGTGATTTCACTTCTCTAAGCCTCAGTTTTCTCATCTGTAAAATGGAGATGATGGTAGGGCCCATCTTATAGTCGTCAATGGAAGTTTAAGAGAGAATGCATGTAAAGCCCTTAGCACAAGCAGGCACATTGTAAGTTCTTGTTGCTGAGGTTATTATTAGGCAGCTCGGAAGGAGGAGGGGAGGGAGAGGGCCTTGGAGTGCTGCTGCTTTGTAAACTGTGCAGGTTGCTCTGGGGAGAGTTGTCAAGCCAGGGTTAGTTGAGGCTGCCACAAGGAGCACCACTGTGGCCCAGCAGAAGGGGCCTCCCTGGCAGGACAGAGGGAGCGAGGCAGAGGAGCTGGGCTTTCCTAACCCCTGCCTGTCCCTCCTGGCTTCCCCTCACTTCCTCCAGAGCTTCCTTCTCTGTGAACCTGCCTGGGGAGCAGACCCCTGGGGCCCTCCTCCCCACCCCTGGTGGTCCCAGACTGAGCACAGCCTCCGGGACTGGGGAAGCAGCTGGGAGCTCGGGATCTCCCAGGAGGGCCTCCCCACACAACCTGCCCCTCCTCCAGCTCCCAGCCTGAGCAGGTCTCCTTCTCCCCACCTCCCGCCCGCCCTCCCTCCTGTGAGTCATCCGTTCCACGCTGTTGTTGCTCCAGGACCATGAAATGTCAAGCAGTTTCTTACCTGTGGGAGACAGAACTGATCGGGATGGGGGTGGGAGCAGCAAGGCTCGGCTTCCCCAAAGGAAGGCCGTGACAGCTCAGGGAAGGAACAGAAGACAGTGGCCAGCCCTTTCCTGCTTCCTGTCATGGGAGGCTCAGGGGGGCAGATAAGAGGAGGATTTGAGAGTTAGACCATCCTGGGTTTAGGTTCAAGGCCTCTGCCAACTAGCTCTATGGTCTTAGGCAAGTCACTCAGCCTCTCTGAGCCTCAGTTTGTTCATCTGTCAAGTGGGAAAAAGAAAATCATCTGCCAAGTGGGAAAAAGAAAATCATGAGGACGCACAGGGTCCTTGGGGGATTGGGTGAGACTGCATGTGTGAGCCCTGAGCGCAGGGCCCGGCTCACAGGACGTGCTCACTAGATGTTCATTGACTCAACGAGTGAATGAGCATGTGGAAATGGCACTGAGTGGAGGTGGAAGGGTGCATGTGACTGTCTGCAGGAAAGCCACCCTCCACCAGCTGGGAGAGTGGGGGAGGGGTCTGGGGGCTGTATTCTAGGCCTAGGACACCTGTTGCTCTGTGCTGGTGCTGAAGAGGCAGCTTCCAAAACTCAGAGAGGATGGAATATGGACTGCCCCTTGTGGGCACAGCTGACACTCTGCAAGCCACATAAGAGTTCAGGCTGGGTCCAGATTCTCTGGAAGTGCCAAGCCCTAGCCCAGAAAAGAACTGCTGTGGGGAAAGGAGGGTAGCAGATTTTGGCCCCTCAGCTTGGGTGACCCCAGGACCCCTTCACAGTGAGAGCACACAGCAGCCACTCTGGGCTGTGAAGTCAGTCTTGGACCCTGGGCTGCCAGCTAGGGCCGTGGCTACCACAGCCTCCTGCCCAAGAGGATGCTGGACCACTTGGGTAGCACAGCCAGGGGGCTTCGTTATTATCTCAAGAGACAGCACTGAAAGCCCCTACTATGTGCCAGACCCTGGTCTGGGAGC